GGAATATATGTTTTGAGAGAAATCAAAAACTTTGCGTTGTGTCCTTTGTACAGATATTTAGTTTCATCCAAATCAAAAGTGGTATTTTAAAATGCAAAAAGAAAGGGTTTCACAATCAAATCAATGATTTTATTCTGTTTTGAATGGCACTTATTAGATTGAATGAATGACTGCATGTTAGACTTTTTTCAGTGTATAAAGAGATAATTTGAAGGAAATGAACATGATTTATTGAAATGCAGATTTTTACTAATCTATCCTCCACTAGCAGAGTGGAGTTTAACAATGTTATGAACTTGCTGGAGTCAAGATGCCATTGGCACCAGAGATGAAGCAGGTCAAGGGCGTAGATTTGGTTTTGGCATTGGTGGGGACGGATGATTCAACCACCGAATCCTGCCCTGTTGTTTTTTTCCTTTTTCTCTCTGCTTCTTGATAGAAAAAGAAGGAAATATACTTGCCTGTCAATGTCTGCTCTGTGATCTATCAATTTATGAGCAACATGGAAGGTTCACACTTTTTAACATTTAAGCAGTAACAATTAGAACAAATACATGCCTTCAGTTTGGTTTAAATGTCTATCAATGCGACCTTGTAATCAATGATGACTATTCCCGTCAAAAACTGAAATGTGTACCACTGCAGGTGCCTTGGATCAGTTTTTCAATCCACTCAGTTTTAAGATCTGGCCCCCTTCTGTTGCTATTGCAGTTTCATATTTGAACTTCATCAACAAATGCAACAGCCACAAACTCAGGGATGCTCTAGGCTGCAGAGGTTTCAGAGGAGAAATACTTCAATGAGTGTTTTACTGTAAAATTGCAAAATGAATTTGACTTTAAATTAGGAACATTGTATTTCTAACATACTTTCTTGTGATGTCATTAAGGAATGTTTTTGTCATTAATTATTCAAATTACCTAATTAAATCAATAACCTGACTTTTCTGGGGCTGCTTACATTTCCTCCAACCTCGAGAATAGGTAAATATAATCTCAACACCTCATAGTGAAACTCAAAGTTATAACAAAATTACTCACCCACGTGTGTGAGAGTCTGAAAGGAATGATTGGACTACAGTAACGATGACAGAGTTTGATAGCATGGAGAAGCAGAAGGAAGAACAGACAATAAAGCCAAATACCGTACCCAGGAAGGCAGTGAGACAAGTGACTAGGAATCTTTTTTAACCTCACACGTAAGCATCATGAACAGGAAATAAAAGTAAACCTGAACACATCTAGTGCTAAGAAAAACAAAGGCAAATAAATACCTGCTTCAAATATGCACAAAGGGACTTTACCAGTTATCCTGCTTGGCAAGCAAGACTGGCATTTTTCCAAAACCTGCAGCGGAGGCGGAGCTCATGGGAGCTGGTTATACGAAACCAGGCAAGCACCAAGCAGCAGGTGACATTGGGGAGAAAGTTGGGTTTTTTTGCCTGTCCCGTTTGGCTCTTTTGCCATCAGAATTATTGTCTAAAGGCAAAGAAAGATGCCCAACGGATTTACTTTACCAAATTGACCATCCCAGCCTTGCCGTAATGGTCCATTTGATTCACCTTTTATTGTTTATTTTATTTTCACTTGCTGAATACGGGACAGACTTGACTGGGGGAAAGAAGGGGAGAAAGAAAGAGAAAGAGCTGAGAAGAGGGACAGGGGAGAAGGGCAAAAAAACAAAAACCAACAGAATGGGCAGAAAAAGAAAAAAAAATGCATCTTCCTGTAAATACCAGGAACTTATTACCTTAACTTTCTCCCCAATCGACAGACATTGGGGAGAAAGTTAAGGTAATAAGTTCCTGGTATTTATAAATGTACACATTACAATAAAAAGGTGATTTTGTTTCTACCATCCAATAAAATTAAGTACCATTTTTCATAAAACCAAGAAGCAGCCTAATATTTGACACTCTTCTCTTCAACTCCACTCTTTTTCCAATCAGAATGAAGATATTTCTGTAACTCCTGTTTTTTGTTGTTGTTGTTTTGCATTCAGATGAGGTCTCATTTTAGACCTTTTTATGTAATGTCCACTCTGTGCTTTTGTGTAAGTGAGTTTTAATGCCAGGAACACTCAAATAATCTGTGGTATGATATGTAATTTATTGGATATAGCTGTGCTGGCCATATATTGTTCACAGGAGAAGGCACCAGAAATAAATACACTGATAATTCCTGAATTCCAGGAAAGTTGTGACGTTCTTTAAATTTGAACAAAATAAAATTGGAAGACTTTCAAATCACATGAGCCAATATTTTATTCACAATAGAACCTAAATAACATAACAAATGTTTAAACTGACAAATTTTAAGATTTTATACAAACATGAGCTCGTTTCAAATTTGATGCTTGCTACAGCTCCCAAAAAAAGTTGGCAGTGGGTAACAAATGGCTGAAAAACAAAAAATTAAACAACCATTTAGCTGGGAGAACTTCTAGCAAATAATTAAGTCAATTGATATCAGGTCTGTAACATGATTAGCTATCAAAGGAATGTTTTAGAGAGGTAAAGTCACTCAGAAGTAAAGATGGGCAGAGGCTTTTCAGTGAGTGCGCAAAAATATTGTGGAATACTCAATATTCCTCAATATTGCAAAGGCTCTACAACTCTTATCATCTACAGTGCATAACTGTCATGGGCTGGCTGTGTGCAGGCAGGAGAGGACCCAAACGCAAACTCACGGGAAAACAGAACTGAACTCAAAATACAGCTTTATTGCTGACAGAGGATAAAGGCGATACAAAATAACATGAAACTAAACTGGGAAGTACTAAGGAACTGACTCACGAGGAAACACACGGAGGGGCACACAGTCATGAGGGAGAATGCGACACAGAACTGAGGGAGACGCAGACATAAATACACAGAGGGTTAACGAGGGAAGTGGGAGCACACGGGGAACACGGGTGACACGATAATCATAACAAGACACGGCAGGAGTGAACGCAACACTGACGGGAGACAGGCAAAGTAAAACAGGAAGTACAGAGGTTCAGACAGGAGGAGAGAGATCACGGGGAGAACACAGACATAACAGGCTGGGGAAAACATGGAATAAAACACGAGGGGAGACGAGGGCTCACAGATACATAGAGGGACACACAGGGGGTAAGAGTCACAAGGGGAAAACACATAAAGATCAACGTAACAGGGCAACCCAGGAAGCATGGCCTAAATAAGGAACAAAAGACAAAAATACATGAAAACTAAGAATACTGGGCCAACATGGCCCAGGATCATGATTATAACATCATCAAAAGATTCAGAGAAACTGGAGATGTCTCTGTGTAAAGGACAAAGCCTTACACCGTTATTAGATACCTGTGGTCATGGCATGATTGGATCCTGACATTACTAATTGTGCCCAGGAATACTTCCATTTTGTGCATGACATTAAAAAACGTATCAAGTTAAACATTTGTTATATTATTTATATTTTGTTGTTAATAAATATTGGCTCATCACATTTGAAAGTCTTTTAGTTTCCATTTTGTTCAAATTTAAAGAATGTCCCAACTTTTCTGGGATTCAGGTTGTACAAAATGAAAATTAAACAAATGGGGAGAAAACCCCTGAACACACTGCAGGTCAAACCGTAAAAAAAAGATACAGATGGTGTTATTTTCTTGTCTTAAACAGAGAAAAACTCTCTGAAGGTCTTTATCTCTTCGAGAGAAGTTCCTGGTTTTTGTAGCTGTTGCTTTGCTTAAAAATGAGATATGGCTTATGACAGCAGCATCAAGAAAACAGAACTGAAACAAGACTTGATGAGTTCACTATTGGGCAATCACTGGTACAGCAGTGATCTTTAAATCTGAAAATAACAAGTTCAGTGTGCTTTAACTACACCTGAGGTAGGCCACAGAAAAAACGTTTTTCCTGGCTTGCTGTCAGACAGATGTAGCCAGACAGGTTTTTACCGAAGCACAAAGTAACAGTCTGCTCACATATTACTGTGGCACCATTGATGAATAGTTTCTAATCTTTAATTTTAATCTTTAATGGATGGGGGCTCTGGGATCTCATTGTGCTTTACTGCTTTACTCTGCTGTTCTCTCAGGTGTCCACGTAGTTCAACAGATGGTTGTTTGTGAATGGGATGATGAGTCAGAGGATATTATTGGTTATCAACAGTATGGTTATGATGAAGACTTCATATATTTGGATCTGAAGACTCTAACATGGATTACTCCAAGGCCACAGGCTGTCGACGCTAAGCATAAGTGGGATGGAGATAAATACAGATGCGAATTTTGAAAAACCTTTTTTGTGAAAAGCAGTCTATGTTTAAACAATCAGCATCAGCACGTTTATGTCTTCCATCAACACCCTATAAAAGAGCTTCTCATTCCTTTCCTGGATGCCCATCAGGTAGATCTACTTCTCCAGAGGATCATGTAACTTTTTGAGATTTTTCTGGCCTGAATTTCCTGAGTCTCCACCTCGGGAGGCAGCAGACCATATATCACCAGAATCTGATGCTCCTGAAGGAATAAGGCCCTACCTTTGTTGGTGCAAGGGCTGAGCATAAGGGGCTTGCCCTTTTCATTGGTGTGGACCCATCTATAAAGAGAGATGGGCCTCAGAGACCAGGTTGTCCTTGATCTAGACAACATGGTAGACAGTCACTGGTGTGGCAGGTCCGTCCACTGGTGCTTTCTGGAAGATCCACTGGTTTCTGCTCTTGAGTAATAAATACTGCCATTCAATGTCTTTTAAGCATTACTCTTATGATGTTTACTGTGCCTAACGTCTGTGGTCTGACCCTGGGATTTGTCTGCCTGCCAGCAGATACAAAATACAAGAGATCAAAGGAGCTAGCAGGACATTGTCTCAGCTGAACTATGGACACGCACACACATACATATACTGATACTGATAAGCACTCACTGACGCATCACCCTCCCTATCCAACGCCACCTCCAACGCTTACCTCCCCCATGATGTGGACATCGGGTCAGCTGGAGGCGCAGTCGAAAGATTGCAGCGGTCCCAGATCAGATGTACACACTGGAACTCTTTCCCATGTTGCTTGTCTGTGTTTATTGTGTTATGGTGTGTTGATACCTGTGCATTCCTGTATTATCCTTTTGTGTTACACATTTCGATGTTTTTTTCCTCGCTACCTGGCCTGACATGTCTCCCCAATATGATGTTTGTATTGCATGTACTCACAAATTATCACGGTTAGTGCTGGCCAACCGTGGGGATGTGAGGAAGAAGGACCCAAATGCTGGACTCTTTATGATAAACAGTGCATTTATTTACAGTGGTGTACACAATCCACAGAATAATAAGTCCCCGTGTGTTCCCTTGACTGCCTTGTCGTGTCTTCCACCCACAAGTCCATGCTCCGTGCTCTTCCACTCCTGTGTGTCCCGGCACCCCGTGCTCACTGCTCTTGTCTTCCATGCTCCTTCCTGGATAAAATAACAAAGAAGCAACCATCAGGACACTCAACCAAATGCACTCATTTAACTTGGCTCACAAAGACCACTGACGTGGAGTCTCACACAACAATCCCGCGCCGAGGAGCGCTTGGCCACACTCCCCGACAAGGCTTCATTAGCTGCAGGTGTGTGTGATCATCCGCTTCAGGCATGGCCAGCCTCCAGAGGGTAAATGGCCTGATTTGTAAATGTACAGCTTTTCTAGTCCCTAAGAACCCCAAAGCGCTTTACACAACCAGTCATCCACCCATTCACACACTGGCAATGGCAAGCTACATTGTAGCCACAGCCGCCCTGGGGCACACTGACAGAGGCGAGGCTGCCGGACACTGGCACCACCAGGCCCTCTGACCACCACCAATGACCGAGACTGTCCGAGCCGGGGCTCGAACCGGCAACCTTCCGATTACAAGGCAAACTCCCAACTCTTGAGCCACAATCGCCCCAGATGGGACATAACTACCAGGCCTGCCTGAAACCCAGTGCTCAGCCACACTCACAGACACACCCACTTGCCTATACATACAAGCATGGAGAACACAAGTACAGCAGCACAGTGCAGCAAACATACATCATATATCAGTCCATAACTGCTCATGGACCCTGGGTCGCTCTGATCCAGGTCTCTGACACAAATAAAACTATGGGGATGTTTGAGTAGTAAGTAATGTTAGAGCAGAAATGGAAATGGGTTTATGGCTGTCATTTCTTCAAAGCTTGATTTGTTTAAAAAAAAAAAAAAGTTTTCATCCTAAGTCTAAGAGATGGCAGCAGAGACTCTGTAAATCTTTTGGCTGCTCCCTTTAGGGCTCACAGCAGATTTTTGTCAGTGCGACTTGTCATACAGTCCCGATCAAAAGTTTAAAGACCAGTTGAAAAATGGCAAAAAAATCATATTTTGCGTGGTTGGATCTTCACAAGGTTCCAAGTAGAGCTTCAACATACAACAAGAAGAAATGAGAGTGAGACAAAACATTTTTTGAGCATGCAATTTATTGAAAACAACACTTAAACTGAAACAGGCCGTTTTACAGCTGATCAGAAGTTTAGGACCACAACTGCAAAAAATCCCATAAACTCTCCAAAACAGAAATCAAAGTTCCAAACATGAACTCAATAATGAGTAGCTCCACCGTTATTGTTAATCACTTCAAAAATTCATTGTGGCATACTTGATGTAAGCGTTTCCATGAGGTGAGTGGGAACATTTCTCCAAGTGGTGAAGACGGCCACACGAAGGCAATCTACTGTCTGGAACTGTTGTGTCTGTATATGTTCTAGCCTTTTTAAAGGTATAATACGAAGTGATTATCTTTTTGTGTTTACAAACACTGCCCCGCTCAACAAGTGAGCAGTGTCGGTCAAACCAGTTAGAAGATAAATATAGAGAAGCAGCATTAGCAAAAAGCCATGAATAATACATAATTATCAGAAATGACATGAAGTGACAAAGTAAATATAACATATTTTTAATCTGTCTAACTTATAAACTTTTTATGTTTTATCTATATTATATATGTGGGATGGGATTTATGGGATTTGGACAGCTGCTTTCAAAAAAAACATATTTCTTCTTCACATACTAAATGCCAAATTCTATAACCTGTTTGTGTGTTTTGATTTTTGAGCTGGCTGTATATATTTTTAAAAAGTGCAAATTTGGGAGTATGGATTAAAACACAAATTCAAAAAATAAACTCTGCATTGCCATAACTGAGATCTCACCTTTCTTCTTTGGTAACAGCTGCCACGATTACCACAACTGCAATGGAAATGATAACTAGAACAACGATTGCAGCTCCAATGTCAGTGGGATTCTCTGTTGAATAGAATATGGAAGAACTTTAATAATAGATTTGTGCTGTTACTTAAGAATAAGTGAAGAACAAATCAGTAAGGACCTGGTAATTGATGCATCTTATATCTCTGATTGAAATAATAAGATTCATCAGTTCCACAGTTGGTACCTCATTACTTTTTGCTCACTTCAGTTATCTATCATGTGTCCCCACTTACTGAGTTGTTAGTAGTAGAGATTTGATTAGTAAATGTGGTAAAATTGGTAAAAGGTCAACATATCCAATATTGTCTCAAGCAACTTACACCATTATAGAAAGAAATCATCAATCAATTAATACTCTGTGTGAAAGCACTTTGCAAAACTGAGCAGAAAAAAGAAAAGTTGACAGGAAGAAACAGAATCAGGGCCATGACATGCTTATCTGCCACAGCAAGCTGGGAGAAAATTTCGAGTGAAAAGATGATCATGGAGACACAGCAAGCAACATAACACATAACACAGGAAGAGATCATTGGGCGGTCATGTCTACAGACCTGGAACATGAAGTCACAGAGTCAGAGACAAATGCACAAAGGAGAGTAATTTGTGTTTGCTGTCTTTTGTACACAAGACAAAAAGTTTATTGCATTCATTTCAAGGGTTTTGATGTTAATATTATTATACGTATTATAATAACTTGTATTGATGAATGATTACAGTGCTTGGGGAGAATCTTGTTGTCCTCTTCTAAATAAATAATTCTAGCGATTATGTGGAACTACTGAGTGCCAACTCAGTATGATGCTTTACGTTAATACTGTAGTATTAATAACTACTGTGTAAAAATGCTCCAGTCTTACTCATATTGGTCCTGATCACTGCTCGGTCCAGTTTAGTGATCATGTCATTGTTCACACTATAGAACTGAAACACACAGTGGTACCTCTCCCAGTCTTCAGGTGTGACTGATGAAACATTGAGATCAACACTCGTCTGAAAGGTCCCATCATTGTTGGAAAGGATCTCTCCCAGATCCACACCTTCATGAAGCTCCTCTCCATCTTTCCTCCAGAACATCACGGCTCTGTCAGGATAGAAACCTGTAGCGTGGCAGCTGACTGGAGAGGAGGAAGACTTCTGAAGGAGAGACACTGAAGGAAGAACTGGAGAGAGACAGGCAGTTGTTAGATTCTCGTTTGAATTTGACTCTGCTTTGAAATGCCATACATTTTCTCTTTTACAACTTCACATGAGATTCTGTAATTTTACCTGCTGTCTGCAAAAGGTTTCTCCTGTAGTGCACATACTTCTTTAAAAGCCCAGGGCATTCATGTATGTAAAAGTTTTTATTGTAATTTAATCTAGGTTTTTCAGCATCCCATCTCAGTTTGGTGATGATAGCCTGTGGTTTTGGAGTGATCCATGTCAGTGTCTGTAGGTCCAATGATAGAAAGTCTTCTCCATCATATCCATACTGATTGAACCCATTAATCTCTTCAGTCTCATCATCCCATTCACATCCATTCATCCTTTGCAAAATGTGAACACCTGAAAAGAGACACGGTGACAAAAAACACGGGAAATTAGTGATATGTCAGCAGAGCTCATAGCCGATATCAGATCTTTGTCATCTGATACAGACACAAAAAAAGAGGATCTCCTGTTACTAACATAAAAACCAGTCTATCAACTTAAGGACAGTGTCGAAGTGTCGCTTTTTTCTGCTTTTATTCACTGTTCTTATTTTCTTTTCACTTGTCTTCATAAACAATAAATCTCATTACTATCTATTGCATTGTATGCAGTAGATAGTAATATGTATGCATATATATAAGACTTATATATACGTATACATATACAGCAGGATGCAAAAGTTTGGGCATCCCACTGTAGATAGTTTAGTAGATCTGCCTTTTGCAGAAATTACAGCCTCTAAATGCTTCCTGTAGGTTCCAATGAGAGTCTGGATTGTGGTTGAAGGTATTTTGGACCATTCCTCTTTACAAAACATCTCTAGTTCATTCAGGTCTGATGGCTTCTGAGCATGGACAGCTCTCTTTAACTTACACCACAGATTTTCAATAATATTCAGGTCTGGGGACTGAGATGGCCATTCCAGAACGTTGTACTTGTTCGTCTGCATGAATGTCTTAGTGGATTTTGAGCAGTGTTTCAGGTCGTTGTCTTGTTGAAAGATCCAGCCCCAGCACAGCTTCAGCTTTGTCACTGATTCCTGGACATTGGTATCCAGAATCTGCTGATACTGAGTGGAATCCATGTGTCACTCAACTTTGACAAGATTCCCAGTCCTTGCACTGGCCACACAGTCTCCAGTGTCAGCTGCTCACTCGCTCTCTGCTCAGTCACCAGTGTCGGCTGCCCACTCTCTTTCAGCTCAGTCTCCAGTGTCACTTTCAGCTCAGTCTCCAGTGCCTCCAGTGTCACCTTCAGCTCAGTCTCCAGTGTCACTTTCAGCTCAGTCCCCTGTGCCCCCAGTGTCACCCGTAGCTCAGGCTCCAGTGCCTCCAGTGCCACCCGTAGCTCAGGCTCCAGTGCCTCCACTGTCACCCGTAGCTCAGGCTCCAGTGCCTCCAGTGTCACCCGTAGCTCAGGC